TTTCAGATTAAAGGCTGTGTTCAATTCTCATTCAGTAACGAAGATCTTGGACTGACTAATCTTAGTAGGATCTCCTATCTTAGTCAACCTAGCGACAACTGCACAATAACTGCGAATGTTACTGAGGAAGTTACTGGACTAACAAAGTCAGGACGCACAGAAACCAAAATAGAGCCGTTTAGATTAAAGATTACTTCAAACCGAGGCACAACAAAATATTTCCGGCCTGGTTTACCATTCACTGATGTGGTAAGTCTGCGGCCATGGAATGTTACAGTTTTTATATGGTCGAATTTACAGTTTTAAACACGATGAGCACTCTCTTATACCAAAATCACTAAAATCACTTTAAAGTGTTAATAAGTGTGCGTAATATAGTTCAGATCACATAATTCAGTGCAGGTTAGGCCTACTTAATCCTTACTATGTTTTTTTGTTTTTTCACTGTATTCTTTAACTTTGTTGTTAACAGTTGTCAGTGACTACTATTGATGGAAAGCCCGCGAACAATGAGAAAGTCGATATCATAGCTAAATCACAGGATTATGTCTTTGAGAAGCAATACACAGTTTACGATGGAATCATTCATTATGAAATACCAAAGATACCCTCTAATGCCAAGACTCTCTATATCTGGGTAAGTTCATTGAAATTATGTGCAATTTTTATTAGTTCCCAAGAATAAACAATTTGGACTAATTTCTAGTAAATGCGCTATCATCAGCCTGTGAAAAAGCAATCGGAGAGCGATCATCATGTGTACACGGACAGAAATTGTGTGCTCAGAAGCCACTGTTTTTTTGTTTTTTTTCGTCCTTCAACCCCTATCTATCAGTTTCTCATGTTTAGTTGCTTGTTTATCTATTTATTTACTTATAAATCAGTTTTACAAAATGGATTCTTATAATTATATACATCTCATGTCTATAGGCTAAACATCATAAAAACAAAGAATATCTTCCATCTTGGACACCAGGACCGCAAATCATCGCTACGTCCAAGCTTTCTAAGAGTTCAAGTTTCTTGTCAATTAAAAGACAGTTAAAGACAATGAAGGTTTGACTTTATGAGTATCTTTAACATACTTGTCAGAATTCTCGTGTTCTGATTGGTTGATTAGTGTGTGTGTTACGGTAGTTATTTTACTCGGGTTTCTGCCGACTTTCGGGATGGACTAGCTTGGGTGTAAAAAACACGGTACGTACCGTGCCGTAGCCGTGATGCATTGGAAAATCTTTACTTTCATTTGAAATCCTATAAGGCGAGGTTCCGTGACGCCGTGTCCGTGCCGTGTCCGTGTTGTGATCCGATCACGTCACGGAACCTCGCGTCACGGAACCTCGCGTCACGGAACCTCGCCGTACTTTTGCACAGTCATACGAAATCCGCTCTACGGTATCCTAGACAACACGAGACTTGTAAGTTAGTCATTTGTAGTGAGCTCACCGAGTTCGCTCAGCGAGTTTTGAACATTTTAAGACGTCAACCGGTGTGTCAATAAGAGGACATACAATTCACAAAAATGCGCGAAATTTGTTAAGTATGCCGTGCATATCGATATTTCTAGTTTTAAATAATTCTGAAATGAAAACGATGTTGAATGCTATTATTCCAGGCTGGAGAAACTGCCAAAATAGATTTGATGCTCACTGTGAGCGGAGATGAAGAAAATAATGACTTTGTATACCAAGTAAGTCAAAACTCATTGAAAATAAAAAATTGGCGAGTACTGACTAAATTTCTCTGTTTTGAAAAATCGCCAAATTTAGTACACGCGAACTTCAAAGTTGCAAAATTYAATAGTATTTGACATTTATCCTGTAGAATGCCATACTTTGTAAGTTGTKGTGTTTGCTATTGCTTAGTGCAAAGGATTAGAAAATTTCGCAAAATTTAATTAACTTAACTGCTTTTTATTTCGTCTCAAAATCAGCAAGGTTTTGGTTCATATATGCATTAATGCACCAGTCATTGTAAATCCCCGCCCCCCCCAACCCGGGAAGGGGCGGGGAATTGGATTAAGCTTGTTACAAAAGTGATCAAATGTTACCACCCCCGGGGCAATATATTTATTCCAATGTCCTTCCTTGTTCCCGCCTGCACTCACCCATCATAAGCAAATTTATAAAATGTTCTCGAAAATTTTTTTTAATAACTCTTAATTTGTAACTGACTTTTTACAATATTTATTTTTTCCTAACAGTCTTTGGACGTTCATCTATAAAAAAGGGAAAAAATGTCAATATTTTAGTATGCCATTGATATATAAGACTTATTATATTGATTTTTTTATATAAATATATAATTATGTAACCATGTATATTTTAGAAGTTTATAATTTTATAGAAGTTTATGACAATTGTACACTATTTATAATAGCAGAAATATGAAAAAACCTACCAGAACATTCTGGGCAATACCAGTCATCATCAGGTATTGTCATTGAGTCAAGGCCTACGCAGTTGTAGTGGAACCACTCAAACTTGCATTTGTTGCCATCACATCCGATCATAAAGTTATCATCAACCTTTCCACAAGGACAATGTCCACATTTTTCCTCAGCCTGCTGATTTGCTGCATTACAGAAAAAAGAGTATTGGGAGATTGTAATCTGATTGGATTATTATTGATAATTATTAAAATTATTGTAAATTATTTCAAATTGTCAATCTACTGTTATGTGATTGGTTACCTGTTTTATCTAAGTAGCCCTGGTTTAAGTAGTTTTACTGTAATACTAATTTTGAAATGTTATAAATACCTTTATTAGCTTTACGAGTTACTGCTGCTTTGACTGCACCTGCCTTTCGGCGTTTGCTAACTAATGACAAATGACTAAACCACATTCTCACTTCCCTTTTTTCCAAAAAGGTTTTCTTTGCACATTCTTGAATGACATCATCACTTATAGAATCAGCATCAGTTGTCTTAAGCTTTTGAAACTCCTTGTTAAGGACAACAGAGGGTGGTTCAGTAATGCAATCTTTGAAGCCATTCTTTAGTACATATGCTATTGCATCCTCTGCAGATAAGTAATGTCCCGCACAAAATCCAGTTGTACAATCTTTACATTCACCACCCCAGGGCCTATTGGGATCTTTGATAGGCAAGGGAAGATCACTGAGATTTGGTCCATTAATAAACCACTTTGGTTTTGATGAAGGAATGCCTTGTTTGCATAATGGGTGGATACATCCTTGCTTGTAGCATGCATACAGAAAAAATACATATTGCTCTGGAAGATTTGTAACTAAGTGGTTGTTTCTAACTGTCCAAATTTCTTCAAAGTAGTTGTAAAGTACTTGATTGTTTTCACAAAGAGCTTGCTTTGCTGCTTTTGAACCATGTAAAAAGACTAACAGCTTGTCTCTTCGCTCCTGTAAATCTGTAGCATATTTATCATTGGCACCCTTAAAGAACTTGATAGACGTATTTCCAAAAGGGGCATCTTGTACTCTGTCAATATACACTTCTGTAGCTGCTTCAAAATTTTCTTTCAGCTTTCCTTCATTTAGACCATCTTTATCAAAATTTGATCCATTGAGCGTGGATGGGATAAAACAATTACTATGTGCTCTTGCTATACATCCATTGACTAATTCGACACGGTTTAAGAAACTTCCTCCACTATTTCTGGCAGTTATACAAGTACACACTTTTCCTTCACTAACATGCACCTCTGTCCAAAGAAACTGAACTTCCAAAATATTTGGTCTCTCATCTGTGGCTCCATCTACCCTCACACAATCTACAGATTTTTGCATTAGGTCATCTTTAAACTCAGGAGTTGTTTTCAGGTACTTCAAATCAGATGCATGTTGAGATGGATTCTTTTTAAAAAAATAATGGTTCTTCACTAAACCAGCTGCTCTTTCCTCATTTGTTGCTGTTTCCATGAATAAATATGAAGAAGTTTGTAAGACAGATGAATATTTGTTTACAAAATCTGTGCGGGTTGTTACTTCCTGGTCACCAGTATACAGAGCTTTATGTTGACAGTGAGTGTACGTGGTGTCAAGCCTAAAACCGGCTTGATCATCTCGATTTAAGATGATCTTATCAGTCCCATCAGTCAACTGGAGTTTGTCCAGTATTTTATACATAGAACAACTATAGTGAGCGTCAGGATTAAATTTTAAAGAAAATCCCTTTCTTGCTCTGCGGCATGTCACCTTTGCTATACCTTTGTATCTTTTTGATGAGAGTTTCCTTTTATTACGAACTACGCATAATTGTACAATAGTGCCATATCCAATTTTACTCTTGTATTTGGTCTGTAAATGTTGTTGAATAGAACGGAAAGATACTTTTTGTCCTTTTTTTCTGTTGCCATCAAAAGTGGTAACACCAGTACGCCGCCATGAATCTGCCCCACACCTCTTACTGGATACAAAATCTTCAATGTCTTTACCAATGTTTGGAAATTTGTTTAATATGGAACTAACTTTTTTAGGTACTTTGCGTTTCAGCAAGTTCTTTTCAGCTATTTCTTTAGCTGCCTTTCTCTTTGCCAACCTCTTGAATATCTCTCTCTGTTTTGATAGAACTTTTTTTCCTTTTTCTGATTTCAGGTTCAAACTCACCCAGTCCTCAGGGTCATCGCTCTCTGAATCAGTCAAACCAGTCTTGTTTTCAACAGCTACTCTTTCACTGTTTAAGAGAGCGGGTCAGGGAATATCGACCACATGTGTGAAAAACGGAAAAATCAAAAAATCCCAAAATATTCCCAAAGACAGTTTTCTATGAGTTATTGACGAAGAAAATATCGATAAGCCAGCAAGTGGCTTATTTCAGGCAAACCAGGACATTTTCAGTTCGACGGCTTTACGGCGGCTTTACAAAGGACAAAAATCGATTCTACAAAAATATCAATAAAAAAATGAATTCGTCAAATAACTACAATTAAAACATATATTCTTTAAAAGGGATGTTTATTTCATCTTCTGAGCTTATTTTTATACAAGTACACGTAAATTACAATTTTTAGCAAACTTTTGAATGTATGCGTGTTTTTATTCAATTTCAGCATCGCTAAAATACACGATTTTCAGAGGCCAAAAATGTGTATTGCTACATGACCTGAAGAAATAAAACCAAGTTCCGAAAAATTATGGGTATTTCTTCTTTACAAAAATGCAATAAAATTTTTGGGCTGCTAAAACTACGAATTTTCAGAGGTCTTGAATCTGAGGCCATCAGAGGTGTGAAAATGTCTCAACACCGGGGTCACGCGATCAACAAAAGCTTTCGCAAATCACACAGAACTTTCCTAAATTATCGAAAACTATTAAAATAGCAAAAATACATCCTCGGGACATTGTTGTTTCTCTAAAGTCTATTGGAGTCGCTATTGATAACAAGAAAACCGAGATTGAAAACCGATGACTCTTCAGTCGATGTGGCTATATTTTGGGCTTGACAAGACCATGATCCAAGACCGCGCGTTTTGCCGCTATCATGACTCACAGCAGATTTCGAACTCATGATTTTCAAATTTCTTGAATGATATACTCTGTATTTATATATAAAGTATATTTGATGATTTATTATAAGCTACTAGTTAATTTCGATGAGCCTGATGACGCAATGATGACCTGTCACACTTCGCCGTGCTGACTGGCATTTTATAGATGGCGGTGTGCGGCTACTCCTCAATAGTTGGTGGATTTTGTGGATCAAGCAAATTTAATCCATCCAATACAGAGTGCATATCTCTAGGTAGTTGTAAGAAAGACGTGAAAGGTCATTTAAAGACTCTTAATACTTCAGACCAGTCACTGAAGACCGAAGCTAGTCTTCTTCTCGCTAGAGCCGGTAAATACAGTTCATAATTCATGTACTTGTGATCAATTTAAATGTCAGTTATCTGTGTTATTTGTCGCAGTGTAGACTGAAGA